TCTCTACTTTACGGTCAACTATGGTTAGGTACGCATTATCGTATATGCTTTTCTCGTAGTAATACCCTAATACCTCTTCCCCTCACGCTCAGTACCACTGTGAGAACACAGTGAGTGCGCGAACTTACTCGCTACCGTCAACAGGATCACGTCATCCAATCTCGTAGGGCTATAATGGCTTAATATACTAGGCGAGTCACAAGCATTTCTTTTGACTTTGTTCCTTATACCTAACGTTAGTGTTTTCCTAAACAGGCATTTGCTCAAGCGACTTTCTCGCCATATTTTCAACGTTGTCCTCAATAGGAATATGTTTTTGGGGCAGCCAGCGTCCTAACAGGTATATAAGGTGATTGATTTCATTTCTGATCCCTCAGTCGCACTTTCCCTTCTTCCCTTGGCTGTTGACCTTGTCTATACCAGCTCATTTTCTCATTCCCCCTTGCTACTATGTCGCACGCCGAGAGCACCACACCGGACACCGAGAACCAACAGGATGACAGCGGCAACGTCGGAGACATGCAGAATAAGCATTGGGAACCTTTTGCAACAAACTTGTGCGACCAACCGTCCGCACAGGCAGCATCTGTGCAGGCTCGCCAGAGACGTAGAATCGCCCAGTTGGAGGAGAAGCTAGAGGCCCTCGAGTCGGGGCGTGCGGTCAAAGAGAAGTACGACCTTGCGCTAATTCATCATTCCGAGTCGCTTTACTGACTACATGTTAGGCAAGCAAACTATTACACATCTCAAGGAAGGGCAATCAGGCGTGTTGTCGTTCTATTCGATAACGTTGAGGACCTCGTTGCTGAAAACGATCGAAGATATGAAGATGAAAACGAAGATCATACTATCGAGTAAATTTTCAGACTTCGAGTTATTTTGTGAGCGCTAACCATAGGCTTGATCATGTAGCCAAGATCGGCTACAGGCAGGGTATGTCACCCTCTCAACTACCTTACCGTGGTTGTTCAGGAAGGGGGCGGAAATGGAGTACGACGAGTACACGCACATGTTGAAATTGGTGGGTTCTATATATTCAACGATCAGTTTTGCGTTGCTGAGCATTCTTGTTATAGCTTCGGCAGGGGGCTGACAGTGCTCGAGGTGACGATACCTCGAAGCTCAAGGCTCTTGTTGCCGAATGGGTTAATCGGGATCTCAAGCCAGAATTCCCGCTCGATTCCAACGACAAACATACCCGTGGATTCTCCAACGACGCGTGCGGCAGGTTACTCTGCCCTGCCGAACTGGATTGGAACAACCCAGTGCAAGTAGTACTTTTGAGATTTCGAGAAAAATGCTCACTTTTCACCAGGGTGCGGACGGGCATTCGAGATCGCTCAGAGGGCTGTATCGTGACGGATCTTTCCTTTCCGGCCTACCTGTACGATAACTATACTGCCAACCCGGATGATCTGGAGGAGGATTTGTTCAAGAGCAAAATACTTCTTCAGGTCCGTCCCTCTGCCTGTAACCTGATTGTAAGCTTACTTTAAAGCAGGGGTACAAAGCCGTGTTCACGTCACCTTCCTCAGCAAAAGATGGGGAGGGTGATGGGGATGGCGCCGATGTCATCCAGAACAACAGACGCGCCAAGAAGTCATTCAACGGAGTTAGTAAGGTCAAAAAACACGTCGCTCAAATCATCAATATGAGAAAGGTCACTCCTCGCTCGATCGCGTACATCGCGTGCCTAGTAAGTCATAGGATTTTGCAAGGCCAGTGATGATGTACCATGACCATTTTGACAGCTTCGATTCTCACTTTCTTCGGTGACATCATGGCGGTCCATTGATGGCGACTTTGACTATGCTCAATTCTGGTGTACTATCATTGATTTCTTTGAAAGGCCCCCTGGTCGAGGTGCGCGGCGCAGGGTTGATAAGCTGCTCGAGTGGTGGAATAGGTGCGTTATGTATTTTTCCCAATAAGCATTACCTGACTCTACTGTTTAGGAAGATTTTTGGACGGAGCCAACGTAACGACATCAGCGATGCGGCAAAGGCCAGCCTGTCCGTCAATGCTCTTGCAAAGCAGAGGGCACAGCGCGATGATGCGGCTTTTGACTCGGCCTAGATCCCTCGCGTAGTTTGCTATCATTACCATACTTATGTCCGGCTTGATCTTAATTGTCTTAATTGTTTACTGCAAATAAATGAATAATATTTGGCTATGCTACTGCCTTTGGTGAACATACGCGCTTGTGTTGTTTAGGCTGAATTCAGGGAGTGTAGCGCAGCCATGAACAGGTTCATATTATTGAGCATTCGCGCCAACTGCAGAATTCAAGTTCCAGATGGTGAGTAGGCTTACTTGTGTTGATTGGGTCGAATTTGGGACGTGCAGCGCAACCATGCACACCTTCGTCGTCTCGAGCATTCGCGCCAACAGCGTGATTCAAGCTTCAATTCCTGAATAGGTGTACTTGTGTTGTTCAGGCTGAATTCAGGGAGTGTAGCGCAGCCATGAACAGGTTCATATTCTTGAGCATTCGCGCCAACTGCAGAATTCAAGTTCCAGATGGTGAGTAGGCTTACTTGTGTTGATTGGGTCGAATTTGGGAAGTGCAGCGCAACCATGCACACCTACGTCATCTCGAGCATTCGCCCCCGCAGCATGAATTCAAGCTTCAGTTCCTGAATAGGCGTACTTGTGTTGTTTAGGCTGGATCCGGGGAGTGCAGCGCAGATATGAACACCTCTTACAGGTCAAATATCCACGCTAATTGCGTGATTCAAGCACCAGTTCGTGAATTCGCATGCTTAAGACGAATAAGCTGGATCTAGGGAGTGTATGGCAACTTGTGAACATATCTGAATGTTGTGCACAGCTACGACTGGACCACGATGCATGGCACAACACATACCACGGCAATAGAACGGTAAGCTGGGTACCGAAGTTGATACATAACCTCCGCTACTGAATTTGAAGTTAAGGTACATTGCTACCACGGTGCAGGGTTCGTGCATAACTCTGACTTCTTGGGACGCAGTCGTAAGTAGTATACCATTGCCAGCCATTAGTGATTCAGAGAACACCGCCTTGAGACTCAAGGATGACACAAATTGATTGTCGCCTGCCTGTTAAAACAAAACCCAGCTGCTGCGCAAAGGTATAGCTTCTTCACACGCTTTCCCAATTCATATATAGCTGACAATAATTAGATGTATCAAAAAGATATCCTCTGAGGTTGAAGCGCGGAATGATTTTCTAGTCGTGTGCGCGGCTGAATATATTGTCATTGCCTGCAAGATACTGGCCTTCAGTCTCACATGGAGAATTCTCGTTGAAGTGAGGGAAATTTGGCTTTCCAGAGAGCTATGTTGGGATTTCACAGTGGGCGCCCTACTGCTGATGTGGCAAGCTTAATTCGTGGAGTCAGTTCTTGCTCATGTTAACAGCGTTACTGTCCTCAGAAAGATCCTGACTTTCACGCCGTACTCGACATCGCGAAACTTAATTCTGACATGGCGCTTGCAATCCGTCTAGTTGAACCATTAGCTTTGCTCTACTTTCCCGTCGAATCTGACCTTGAGTGATGAGTGGGTGTCTTTTACCTATCACTAGCTCGGAGTACGAAATTCAGAACTGTTCTTTCCTAGACAAAGTCAAAAATGATGATGTGATGATCGATAGCGGATTTATGCAGATTTTAGTAATTATATACTATGTATTGATATATATATCATTCTCATACATTCACCAGTTCACTGATGATGGTCAAGCTCAGGAATTCTGTAATATGCATGCATCTGAGTCATTAGCAAGAATGTTTCACACCGTTGATGACATCAATGATATCCGAAGCAATGTCATTTTCCGCAGGAAAACCATCCGCCGCAGCCTTTCTGGCATCAACACCGACTGAAATGGAGTCAACCTCCAGGATATGCCTCTTCAAGTCTTCGTCACCATCGATACCGATTTGCGCTTTAAAGAACGCAGCTTCTTCGGAAGACAAACTGTAAAGGCTGGTGTCTACTGTTGGCAGTGATGCGGTCTGAAGTATTAGGTCGCCCAACAATGTCGTGGAGTAATGGTGTGTGGTGGTACGTTCCATCGTGATAGATTGTTACTTACATACACATAGCAGGTACCTCATGAGTTCAATACTATGACGGCCAAATGTCGATACAGTGTTTCAAGTTCAAGTTATACAACCATCGACGTTTCCGGGCCCTTGAAGGCAGATTCATTTGCAGGTGCCTGACTCGGAACATTTCTGTCCGGGAAAACTCCACTAACGTTTACGGTTTAACGTCCGCGTAGTCGCAGTCTGCAGACCTCCAAATTCAACCAGGCTCACCCCGTCTATCAGCACGTGTGACTACAGAAGCAGAGTACATCAATACATTCACGCCACGCCGCCTCCTTGGGCCAACACAGTCGAAAGCCATCAAGGTCGCCTACGGGTGGATGACTAAAAAGGGTTGAGCAATCAAGATCCAGCGAAAGCACATCTACAGGCTATCCGCGACACCTAAACCAATGCTTCATGTCTCATTTACTCAGATGGATCGAGACGATCAATTGACCAAGAGGATATAACCAGAGGAGGTTCGGCTGGGATGCAAAGTATTTTGCGGCCAGGAAAAAATAGTTTACAATGCGGAACTGCTGACGACTTCACGGGCATCAACAAACGCAGTACAGTTTGCTTGGGAATATCCGGAGAATCACCCCCATTTGTGTGTTGATAATAAGTCCATGGTGCAGGCTGCGCATGCAGTTACTCCTGGACCCTCACAACACCTCACCCTACTTCACCCTCAAACCATCGAGGACTTCCTAACTGCATCATTCTTCCATCGCAATGAAATTGCAGGGACTCCCGACTATCTTAATATCAAGCGCAATGAATGCGCAGATCAACTTGCGAAAGAAGCTAGCAAACACAATGGCTCACTTGTTACAACATGCCAACACGGAGACGCAATGAGGAAAACTTGCTGAAGAGATAGACGGGTTCAAGATTGTAAGGAAATGTCTACGTAGTACATTCCATCTTCGTACGGCCTCTCAATATTAATCATTAGCAGCAATGACCGCTCGTTCCGACAGCCTCTCGCACTCAAGCTTAGTGGATGACGAGCAAGACTATGCATGGTCGATCATCAAACATCCACATTGCTCGAGTAGTACGCAAATTTGTCCAAAAACAAGTGTACTGACTGATCGACTCCGAACTAGGTATTGCACCATTAACTATGATACCACAGCGATAGAAGGAACACGACTCGCTGTCAAGACGTACTGCTCGTGCTGCCAGTTCAGTTTTAAACCAACAGGCAGATCCGACCTGCACTCTAAGGTGCGCAGGTGAGTCATGTGGTTAAATCCTGATTGCACAGCGACATGCTCATACTCACGGTGGCAGGTTTACAAACCATGTTAGTGCAGCAATCATTATCTGTTGTACAACTCGTTGTACTACATGCACTGATGAACATGGACGTCGTCAAACCAGCAGCAACAGCGAGGAAGGAGAAACACATTTTCTGTGCGAGTTGATATGGAATCTTCTGAGGGGGACCTCGAATGATATCTCTGAGGATGTGGGAACACTATAGGATGACGACTGCTTTTATATCCTGCATATACTTATGGGCACGGTTCTGATCGATTTGGCAGAAATTTCGGAAGAACCTGCAGGAGCGTATTCGATTGCCATCCTCATATCATAGCCTGCTGTTACTAGGGTCGTATTGTATAGGGGTATAGTTCACGATATGTGAGTTCTCCCGCATGAATTACTGATTTGAGCTGTCTCTAAATCCGTCTTTTCGCAGGGCTCCACTTATGCTATTTGTGTGTTGCTAGTCAAGAACAGTTATTCCATTCTGTAAACTCAAGTTGAGTGGACGACAAGCGAGACTAGGCATGTTTGATCATTTTGAAATAGGTTCAAGCATTCACATTGTTCGAGCAGCACGAAAGTTTATCTAAAAATGAGTATACTGATTGAATCCGAACTAGGTATTGCACCATCAACCATGATACCAAAGCGAATGCAGAAATATGACTCACTGTTGCGATATTTCGCTCATGCTACAGGCTCAATCTCCACCGTACTCGCAAGTCGGGTCTCCTGTATCCTAAGGCGAGCAAGTGAGTTATGTGGTTGAATACTGGTTACACAGCGACCTGTTCAGACTCACGTTAGCTTGAGCTATGCAAAAATAATTCGCGCAGCAATCATATACTGTTTTGCAAGTTGTCTTGCTACATGCACTGATAGACATAGACGCTGTCAAAGCAACAACAACAGCGAGGAAGGAGAAACGCATTGTTCGTGCGAGGTAATATAAAATCTTCTGAGGGGGTTCTCGAATGATATTTCTGTAGATTGGGGAACACCATAGGACGACGACCGGCTTTTATATCCTGCATGTGGCAGAATTGTTATTGCTATCAGATGGTAGAATTTTCGGCAGAATGTGTAGGAGCGTATTCAATTGATTGTGACCGTTGTATCATAACCTTGCACGTTACTGAAATCCTATTGTATAGTCAGGGGTACAATTCATGATATGCGAGTTTTCCAGCATGAATCACTGATTTGAGCCGTATCTGAACCCGTCTCTTCGCAGCGCTCCAATTGTGCTATTTGCGTGCTGCATCATGTAACCTGGTGTTCGCTGGCATGCCTCATTTTTTCCGGCCGTGCCTGCTGCGGAGGTGACACAGCTGTTGCACTACCACCTTCACTAAAGATTGATCTTTCTATTCAGTTTACACTTCTGGCCAACTTCGTCGATTGAGACTTAAGGCGGCCCAAGGACTGACATGGCCTTGGCTTACGCGGATGGCTTCTTCCAAGTGGCACCCCGACTAGGCCTCCAGAAGCCAACACCAGGCGCCTCCCCGCCCCACTTAACATCCGCTAACCAATTTTTTGCACTAGATCGAATTGATGTCACTCCCATCCTTATCCCAACCGTGCAGGATCATCGAAAACATCCTCCAAACTACTCTCGATGGCCGAACCAACTCCTCCCGACCTGGAACCCCAGCCATCAATGGTCCGATAGCAACAGCAGGCAAGCAAGCCCCTGATTCGGACCGCGGCTCGACGTCACTTCAGAATTCTCTATGCCGCATGCATCTTTGTCATAAATATATGGACAGCATCATGGTAGTCATGATACGTCCACGAGGATTGCACAAAATTTCCAAGAGTAAAGTCGGCAAAGTACAACTATGCATCATATAGATATAATAACAAAACATGGAATTTCTTTGTTAATTCTTAATGCCACTCGACAAAATGCTTCCTAAATTATAGAATACCAGAGCCCAATTCCTGAGGTACTGTAGAGATATGCACTTAAGTTCGTCACACCATCACAGGCCCAGCGAATCGAACCTATTTCATGTGACAGTCACACCCATATTGAGGTCATCGAACTTATATTGTGACATGCGGTAAAAACATGAAAAAAAGTCCTAGTGCTGCCAAAAGTCCTTGTACTGAGTATTTGCAATGTGTCTGCGCTTGCCACGACCCTCAACATCAACCTCCTTCGAACTGTCGGTGGTCACGGCTGTAGATTGAGGCTCTGTATCATCTAGTCAAGACCCACAATGGAAGTGGGTCATTGGGGAATGAAGGGTGGATTACTGATTTGATTCCATCTTGCAGTGCGCCACTAGCATGATCACAAAGGCATGAGGCTGTTTGAAGAGGCGGAACAGATCGTGAGATGAAGCCCATGGGGAGCTGGAGCATCGGGGACTTTCTGGAAAAGATGAATCTGGTGGTAGCTGATGGATTGGTTTCTAATGCTGTAGGCAGGTCTAAATGAAGAAACACAGCAACAGATAGGTTGCTGGAAGGAGTGATTGACTCAGATTGAGAACTGTGTAGGTACAGATAGAATATCTTGAATTTTGGCTGCTGGGGCAACATCTAAGTCATGTAGATTGGACATGGTAAAGAAAGTGAACTTGGGGGAGGGGGTAAATGTTTCAGATGGCATCCTCATTGCAGGCTGGGTCATGGCTCACCAAGCATCAGTAAATTCACACATTGCTTAATTTCCTTTTTTGCTCTTATTTTTCCCACCCAAGAATGGAAAACGCCTGACAAGAACCAGAAGCGCCTCCTTGTCACAAGGAGCAACAAGCTGCCAAGAAGATCCCTTCCTCTTGATTTGAGCTTTTTTGCACTTGTTTTTCACTTGTCCTACACTTTTTGCTTTTTTTTAGAATGAGCTACATTACAATCCCCTTTGTCGCACTTATTTTCAACTTGCTCGCACTTATTTTCAGCTTGTTCACACTTTTTACACTTGTTCACACTTTTTACACTTGTTCACACTTGTTACAAGGGAAAAAAAAATTGCATTTCAATTCACAGGTAATACATATATATACGAAGTTAGCAATTGTAAAAATGAAACACTCACCTCCTGTGAACAGCGGGCAGCGACTTGAATCAGCATGGCTTGAGCTCAGATGAGGATCGACAGACTCGCGACCTGCGAATGGTAGGTGACGACTTGGATCAGCATGGCCGTTGCTCGAATGAAGATCAACACACTCACCAACTGCGAACAGTGAGCAAAGACTTGGATGAGCATGGCCGTTGCTCGAATGAAGATCGACACACTCATGAACTGTGAACGGTGGCCGATGACATGGATCAGCATGGCTCGAGCTCCAATGAGGATCAACGCACTCACTCACTGTGAACGGCGGGTGACGACTTGGATCAGCGGCCATAGGGTAGAGCACGGGTACGGGTAAACCCGTGGTTTATTGCTGATGGGTGTGGCGGGTATGGGTACAGTGTAGATTATGAAGACCCGCACGTACACCGTGCATACCTGTCGCAGTTTACAGTGTTGTACAGGTCAGCCAGGCAGTTAAGAAGAGTGTGGATGTGCTTACCCATCCTTTGAAGAGAGTGAAAACTGTCTTGCTCTCGAAAAGACACTCTCATCACTGTCATCATCCCCCAAACCATTGGTAGTCGACATTAATGCCATTGACACGGCGACAAAGTCTGACGATGAAGAGGACCTAGATGTGGAACTTCATAAGACATCTGCTGATACTACTATGTCAGTGTCTTACCTGCAGGTAAGTCAAAAAACCACAGTATACGGCAAACACTGTTCATACCCGCAGAATTGGTGGGTCGGTGTACACCCATACCGTGGCGGGTACGGTGTTTGCGGGTATGGGTGCGGTGTGGCTTCAGCGACCCGCAGGTTCACCCATGCTCAACCCTAAGCTGCCATGAAATTTACAAACTTGTCAGTAGTATAACGAATGCAGAAAAAGAACATGTACCTTTTCATTAGCGAGCTGCTCAGGCTGGATCTCTCATTCTTCTCATCCTGGGATCATGCACTGGCTGAGAGCAAGACATGGCCACGGGCAGTGCTTGAAGAAGTTGAAAGCAAAGCGAAGTTCAATTTTGAACAAGGTCACGATCATGACGTGTCACACTTGCCATCGCTGACCAATCGTTGGACGCTGGAACTTGCCATTTCAACCAAACTTTCAATGCTTACTGCAACCACCAAGGTCCTCAACTCATCATCCTCATCAGTCAGCACGGTCCCCGTCTTTATCTCACAGCCATTCCCCTCATTGCTAACAGCAGCGTTAAGAGTTCTGCCTCAGAGGTAAAGTACCTGTGCCCATACTGCTAATGACTAGCGTCGCTCATCGTTTTGCATGATAGCGTGGTGTGAGCTTGTCACCTCCCGGTGCTCCACCTCCACCTTATCAAGATCATGACTTTGTACAACCTCATACGGCGGGTGATGATCTCACTGTTGAGAACTTTCTCAAGACTGTTAATTTTCTGCTGAACAGGACAATATTATATCGTCAGCAGCAGCTTCCAGGATGTCCCATACGCGCCGTCACTCTTCGTAGCTACTATACAATGTTGAACTTAGTTACTTAGTATTTATCCTACTATGTTTCAATTTCATCCTTGTGCTTGTGCTCCTTTTTGCGCTTTTTGCCCCTTGACAAATATTTAATGCACTTTTTGCCCTTGACAAATATTCAGCACAAGTGAGTAAGTACAATAAGTGCAAATAGCACGTCGATTTTTGCAACAAGTAGCTGAAAAGTACATTAAGCAATGTGTGAATTTACTGATGAAACATTGGATCCGCATTGACAGGACTCTGCAGCAACATAGGAAGAAGACATGCCAATGTTGCTGAACGGAAGTAAACTTGCAGACGAAGCTTTGCGGGGTGAGCATCTGAGTCTCCAGGTTGAGTGTTTGAGTCTCCAGGTTGAGCGTGAGCATCTCTGCGCTCGTACAAAGAAAGAAACATGTTTGCTTAATGAGGCCGTAACCGTCCAAGACTCAGTCGGTCGTCACACACAATGAACCTATGTGCAGCATGTCACACATCACACCCTCCTTCGAACTTTTGAACCTAACATTCATTTGGTCACACCCAAATTGGGTCGAACCTAAGTGTGTATCTCTACAGTAGTGTTCCCTCTAGAGTGTTCAAATCTTGGAAGGCAGCATGAGAAGTGAGCCTCACAACACTCCCATCTTGTATTGAGTCAAAGCTGAGACCCTTCTAGCATGACAAACATCTCCCCTGGGTGACTTCACTCATCATTTGATCATAACATTCAAAACTCTCCTGGAGTCATTGCCTTCAAGTATTTCCACTAGTGGTTTGGGTTGTATTTGACTCCAAATATCTCACCCTCACAGTCAGGGTATAAGAGCAACAGGCACTAAGTCTTTCTCTGTCTTTCTCTTGCTTGAACACAACAAGAGCTGTTTGGATACCCCAAGATTATGCAAAGGACCCACCTACCTTGTTCAGCATTTCCTGAGCAGGGACCTCTTGATAGATGAATCAAAAGCAAACATGTGCATCAAAATCATGTGGATGAGTACTCATGCTGACATGCTGTGTGCAAGGAATGATAGCTAGATGAAAAGGGGTGAAAGGGGGAGAAAAGGTGAAGTGGGGTAAAACTCAAATAGACCTCTGGACACAAGTATAGATTTGGCCCAAGGGGATTGCTACTGAGAACAATTCCTCTAAGTAAAATATGAGGGGAAACTTAGAAACTGGTAAGGGTAACTGAGAGTAGAGGGAACACAGAAATTAGCACTGATGTGGTGCAAGTGCAAGCGAGCTGCCAAAAGTGCGATTAGGGATCCACAGGGGTAAACCCTATGGGTGTCCAGTGACTAACCCATACCTGTACCCGCCAACTCCCTGTACCCATGCACCCAAGGGTACTCAAGGGTATGGGTCTCTCAATGGGTCATAGAGGGGTAAGGGGTCTGAGGGGTATACCTGTACCCACCATACAATTCATGCATGTAGCTAAAACAAAAATGGCAGTAGTAGTATCTAGTCCAATGTAATACTATCCCACCCATCTTCAAGTTCCTCATCCTCACTGGCAACATCAGGAAGGCTTGCAATGAACTGAACATCCATGTCCTTTACTAACCCTAAGAGGCTTCATAGGCCTACACAAAGCAATGCTCATGTCGTCTGCACAGATAGACAATTGCGCATAGTGAGAGAGGAGGAGCCATCCATGGCTGAATATGCGTTCCACATCAATGGATGTAGCTATAATATACAATATTAAATTTATGTGCTCACAAAAGAAAAAACACTTACCAGGAATAGTGAGATAATCAAGGGCCATACGAGACAGCCATGGGTAGGTCTTGCAATTAGGGAACTGCACAGGTACGGGTACTGCCAGGTATGGGTATGGGTCAGGATTTTGTGACCCACGCAAATACCTGTATCCATGATGTACCCATCACAGTCATGGTGTAGCGCTTACACTTGACACTCATTCTCGTATATCTATGCTTGCTTGTGAGTGTCATACTACTTGTCTATACTTATTTTTGTTCACTCACACCTATTCCAGCTTGTTTTCTGTCTGCACGAGGTACATTTGCACTGGTGCGCGCATGTAGAGTCAACTCTGGATGGGGAGTTGGTAGCATTAGGTAGTCATTTGCTCATTGCTCTCAGTCATTTGCCACTTGTTCCAGGTGCGCATGTTTTTTTTTCTCATTTACTACTAATACTATCTTTAACCTTGCAGTGTGCTACTACCACCACTCGCGCCCTACACTGCATCCTACCCTCCATCTCGTTCTTCCTGTGCCGTCCCTCCTTCCACTCTTCTGGTGCTCTCCAGTGTCCTCCACATATGTTCGAGCCATGTCAGCATTTGCTGACATGCGCTGGGCATGTGCGTGCTAAGCACTGGTGGCTGTTGGGATCAGGTGGGGGTGGGTACACCTGCCATGGGTATGTACCCGCATCCATACCCGTACCCGTGTCCACAGGTACATACCTGTGGTGGGTACTGGGTATGGGCTGACCTCTGGGCACCCACAGGTTTACCCGTGCAGTTCCCTACTTGCGATAGGCCATGCCACCAAGCAATTGGATCCATGATATTCTCGATGTCAGTGTTGAGGTACATATTCAGCTCCTCAGCTGAGGAAGTGGCTGTGGATTGAGTGAGTGATGGTAAGCAGTCAAAGATATTATGGGAGTCATCATCCTAGATATGGTTGTATGAGCCATCAGAATGATTTTTAGAAAATTAGCACGCACCTTATCAACCTCATGAGCTGGATTGGCAGCAGATCCCTCAACAGCTGAGTGAACTGAGTGAGCAGCATAGCACTGAAATTCCATGTGAACAAGCCCTTCCGCAGTGTCGATCCACTCCTGCTCCCAGCCTGCCGACTTGAAATAGGCGAGCTTATGGTGTGGATGAAGCACTGTAATATAAAAAGAATATTAGAAATATTAGATAGAATTAGAGAAGAAAAAAATGTACCCATTGCAATGCGATACACTGCTAATAAGTCTGTGTATGAGTAATAATGGTTAAGTGTTCGTTTGGCAAGTAAGAGGGCAGCACAAATTGCAGGATTGAGTTGGTCCTTCTTGATGACATAGCTGGTAAAGACCATATCAATGTGGTCCATGGTTGGGATTACCATGGCCAAGTTTGGTGTTGACTGTGAGAAGAACAATGTGGCATCCTTGAGAATCTGAGTATAATGTAAACATGTGACAGTAACAATGTAACTACATCACCTTCAATACATCTCATAGTTGTTTGATTAGTGTCCACTCGTGTTCTTGGAGCTCGTACTCTTAGCTCAATAGTTAGGTGATGATGTAGCACTACTGGTAGGCTGTTCACCTTCAATAGATGCTGTAACTTTTGTGCATTTTGATGTGACTGTGGGAATAGAAGGCTTATCGGTGGCCTTCCTTTTGCCACAGCTACCTTCAGCAGCCATGGCAAGTATCTTCTCTGTGGGCTTCATTGTCCTTTTTGGTAACATGCCACAATATACGGAGGTAGATGGAATAGGATATCTCTCATTGTAGATTTGCAGTCTATATTCTTAATGTGGTACTGTACAGTTATAGACAATCAAAGTATCTATCTAGGGTTTAGGGGTCCCATGATTGGTCCATGGGTCCAGGGGTCCTAAGAACCTGACCCACACCCATACCCCTAGGTACCCTTACCCATGACCCCTGGGGGTTATCCATACCCCTGCTGATATCTAAGTGCGATACAATGTGCAGCCATGCAGCCAAAGATTTGACAAAGTGTGAAAGTGTGTGGCCAAGCTGAAGGATTAATGCGAGAAGCTGCGAGTGTGAAAGCCAGGTGGCGCAACAATGAATGGAAAGGACATTTGACAATAAATGCAGGTATATGAAATATAAGCATTAGTACGGCCATTAGAGATGTGTGCAGTGGAAACAGGTGATAATTTGATGGGAGAGATTGAAGTTACATGAAAATCGTAAGTACTCAGTATATATGAGAGTACACTGAAGTGCTATTCAGAGCTAAGTAGGTAGTGGTAATATGTAACAAGGGTCCATAACGCAAGTAATGAAAATATAAATGATATAGCTTCAGAAATATGGTCAGTCTAATACAAATCAAGTAAAATATGCACCAATGGACAAGTGGAGGACATGGATAGGACAGAGGAAGGACACGTGATGGAGCTGAAGAAAAGCCAACAGGAGCTGATGTGCATGCATGAGCTGTGGCTGTCAGCTGATAACAGAATGAGTGTGCGCCATGTTAGTGATAGCATGTGCAACACAAGGACCTAAGGGACACTGTGAAAATAGGCTCTACAAGGCCATAAGGACTCCAAGTCCTACAATGCACCAAACCTGTTTTGTGCATGGTCATGGCTACTTTTGAGTCTTGAAGTTCTTTACTTTGCCTCATGAAATTACCATGAATTTTCTACACTACTTTAATATTTTATTTGAATATCTTTCAGACTTGAAGACTCTATATTACCACTTAACAGTTCAAATTAATACTTATCTGGTTCAAAGATCAGTGTCAAACATACCACAACAGATTACTCAGCAATTCTCATGATCTCTTACATTTTCTTACACATTTCTCACAACTTTCTGTATGTTTGAAAACATACCCAAGACAACACTTCAACATATCAACAGTTCATAAATGGTCAATGGCTTAGTCAGATGACATGGATTAGTCAGATACTTGAGTGGAGAAAGTTTATAGATGAGAATATTTGAGAAGTGAACAAGTCATCATGGAGCATTTCAACTACTGAGTCATTATGAGTCATATTTCCTTATTTAGGTAGTTATGCAGCCACATTTAGAATAGTATATGAGGGGTTTAGATTCCCCCTTCTTAATAGATTCCCCTCCTTAGAAGAGACTCCCTTCTAAGAGATTTCCCCTTTTGAGAAGGAAGGAGGATTTGAGTAACTTTCTAAGTTTCTCACCCTATATTTGTGTAAACATCTGAGTGAATATTAGTTTATTCCCTCCATTCATTTGTCATTATTTCATTATTTCTCACGACATACTGATCTTCTGAGGCCTACCTTGAGCCAAACCTTAAATTACACTAGCTGGTACATGGTTATCAGTCATCTAGTGTAGTTTCATCATTCTCTTTATGACACAGAATATCTTTTCTGTAGGGAGAATTCATATATTTCTTAATGATTAGGAAGGACAACAAATAAGACTACAATACACTATCTCATAGTGTATAGCAATGGGAGCCCTTTTGCTATACAATATGAAATATATACACCACCAAATAATTCCCACAGTGGTGTGAATGCGCGCTGCTCACAGAAATCAATACATTCAACAAGTACATCGAAATGGTATGTTACTTGGTATTCCAGAATTTGTCCAATGTAACCTGCTTTGCATTCTGCAACTCCTTGCGCTGTAGTGTTGCTTGAAATGCCCGAAGTTTGTGAACAAGGTCAAGTGAAGAATCAGCACCAACTTGCGCAATACATGCAGCCTCAAGCTTTTTGCACAGCAGAATCAGTTCAGTAGCACAGACCTTGGGTTGATCATCCTCATCTTCATCATCTGATTCCACTTCAACCAGCTCCCCGCTCCTAATTGCTTGCCAGCGCTGAATTTCTGCAATGATTGCATCATCATCTTCATAAGCAGTTACTTGTCCAATGTTCTTCTCTTCTTGAGGGTCGAGAATCTCGTCAACAGTCAGTGGTGTGCCAATGATCCATCTCCGTATTGTAAGCTCCTCTATGGACTTCATCAATTCATGTTCGAGAGTTTGGAGCTGAGGTGCCTTGGTGAGAGGCTGAATTTTGACAACCAGCCCAGTTCTTTGACATGCCACTGATGCAAGTTTCTTGACAGCCTTAGCCACTTTGACATTGTCACCCTTCACAACCATAGCAGTTTTCAGGGCATCCATCCAGTCCTCCTCGACATAATGATTGCCAAGGTGTTCTTTCAAGCAAGCTTCGGCTTGAGGCAAGGTCATAGTATCAATATCTGCAAACTGGTGTATGATTTTCCATGCACCTGGGTCTGCATGAGCAGGGTGAGACGAATGTGCCATAGAGTTGGCTTGGATTCCTGTGTGATTCCAGCAATGCTGAATGGTGGATGGCTTGACAGCATCCCATGCCTCTTGTGCCATGACCATGGCTTCTTAAAAATTTATTTTATAGATATCATGATTACCAGCTTCATCAAGTTCAATAGCGTGAAGACAGAATGCTCAACGATAATGAGCCTTGAAGCATCAGATGACTCCAGCATCGAGAGCTTGAATGAATGAAGTTAGATTTGGCTCAAAAAATTCAAGCTGGATGTGAAGTGGTTTGTATGTGACTTTGTGCCTAGAGAAATTGTCAATGAGAAGGCAGATGTAATGTTTTTGGATCCCCATCTTGATGTTGAGTGCCCTGATCCACCTTGAATTTTATTGTGTAAATTTTTTATGTGAATGATACTGATATAGAGCACTGCTTACTCATTGAACAATTCACTTGTCATCCATGCTTTCTTGTTGTTTCAATAGTAAACCCAGCACTCTGTGGTGACTTGCTACCAAAGCATCGGGGCTTTTGGGAGTAACCAATGAAGAAAAGTGGAAGTTTCTCACTTCCATCTGCATTCATTGCAAAACCAAGAGTCATCCTGAATTTCTCTTTTTTCTTCCCACTCATTTGATGTGTACCAAGGCCACGATCAGGAGGTGCCCTAATCCATAAGTTTAGTTTCTCTTTGAACTGAATACTCATGAGTGACTTACATGGCAAATAGACTTGATCCATCAAAGTTCCAACAGTCTTGTACTGGGAAAGTTGACAGGAGACATCCCACTCGTAATCTTTTGTGTTTCACTGCTTCTGTATCCACTGATCCAGCCTCACCATGACGCCAGTGTAAAGAGTTGATTCTGTGTAGGCGCTACAAAAGTGTTACCTTCAGAACTCAATGTGCGAGTGTAATGCTCATCCCAAAGAGACTGCCTATAGAACTACTCCTTGATATAAAATGCAAGGAATGTTTAGTTAAGATTGAAGTAGAAAGAACAGAAAGGTCACCCAAGTGTGCTGTAGAGATACAATAATTGCTGGACACTACACAAAGTAAGTAACCAGCAATATAAAAATGTGTTGTGGTCGTGCACAGCCTAGTCTGCTATACTTGCAAGACAAGTGCGTTCGACCTGAGGGGTTTGCTGTGTGGTATTAGAATAATCAGTTATACAAAAAGAAAGATAGTCCAAAGTGTGGGAAACAAAGTCCGAAGGTATAATTACAAGTCCAATGTCAAAAACGTCAGGTCCGATGTTTTTGGGTTTTGGGTTAGTGGGTTTCGTTGGGTTCTGTTGGGTTAGCGTCAGGTTTGCATCAGGAATATAGCGAATGTTGGGGATAGCGAATGGCAGGTTACTGTCAGATGTTTCAGAGTGTTTTGGATAAAGAATGGATGATATTGTGGAATTCAGCTAAGAACTACTAATATCGGATGACCTCCTCCTACTCGGAGGTAGAAAGGTAAAGTAAATAGGTAGGAGGTATGTGAAATATATAGTGTTTATGTAGAATTTCGGAGTGCTATAGGCGAAAGTAGTAGCACTGATTTTCGGGTCCGATGTCCTATGTAATAAGACATGTACTGCGGACATGTAATAACACGTTCTACAATGTTAGCGATGTGAAAACAAGTAACTGCACACCTAGTGGGGATAGATATGACAGGACAAGACATAGGGAGGACAAGTGTGTGGGAAAACATTGGGTCCGATGCACAGGAAACATTGGACTAGTGTTGGATTAGCAGATTTAGCATCGGGTTTAGCAGATAAACATTGGATTGGGTGGGTTAGTGTCGGATAACATCAGGAAGTGATTTGTGTGTGATGGGCATTTGACATGCATTGGAAAATAGCTGAATACGAGCCTAGCACAAGCTCGAGTGCTACAGCACTCAATGTTCTGAAGATATGTCCAAAGTACCGAAGTACTTGTCTGATGAGGTCCGAAGGCGGTTTGATGTCAAGAAACAAAGGTCTGAGGTTGCGCGAAGCATCCAAAGAGCTTCTGATGAACAGTGAAGGTTCCGAGAGTGAAATATAGCAGGTATGTTGAAGTATGTTGAAGTATAAGACTTGCGGAAGTACCGATGTTGGTATACAACACAGAGTGGGGCTATACAAAGATGGCTCCAAACTGATATCTTTATGTTGTGGTCTTGCACTGCCTAGTCTGCTATACTTGGTGACAAGTGCATTTGACCCAGCGGTCTGTGGTCTGGGAATAATTTTGGGGGTCAGTAGGTGATGTGAGGTCAATAATCCAAGCACGCGAAACAATGTCTGAAGGTATAATTATGATGTCTGATGCAAAAGTGTCGGGTCCAATGTTTTTCAGGTTTCAGGTTTCGGGTTATCGGGTTCGGGTTCGGTGTATCAGAAACTAATAGCTACGCAATAGCGAGCATCGGGAAAGTGAGTGGTGTGCGCAATAATAATGATGACAGGTACAGATGGTGAAGGAACGATGATATTCGCAATGTCAACTAAGAACTACGAAATATCGGGTTTGACCCCTAAGCATCGGAGACGATTCTCCTCTACTCAGATGATGATGATGCTATGGGGAGTCCAATATTTATGTAGATACGTAGAAATCTGGAACCCTATAGGCAAAAGTAGTAGCACAATATTTGGGGTCCGATGTCCTATGTAATAAGACATGATGTACTGCGGACCATGGGAATACATGTAATAACACAGTCGACAATGTTAGGGATGTGAAAACAAGTAACTATGCACCTAGTGGGGCTAGCACAATGAGACTGGACATAGGTAGGACAAGTGCACATGATATCCAATAGGCCAATGTGAAACCCAATGTCTGATTTCAGGTTTGGTGCATATTGAGTCAGGTATGATAGGGAATGATTTGGGTAATGATTAGCATTCAAAATGCATCAGAAAATAGACCTCTGTGAGGCCACAAGGACTCCAAGTCCTACACCGACCATCAGCATATTGCAAGGTGTGTTTTCATAGAAAACAAATGCTGCAACTGGCAGGTTTGAAACATGCATGGTCCAAGAGAAACAGATTTTGACTCTGGTGATCACTTGACAATGACATCTTTAGCAGGTTTTGAACCTATGCAGACAGATTTAGATTCTAATGTATTAACTGCTCGGCTAAGACCAGTTAGATGCACCCCTGATGGACCCATTCACAAGTGAATCCTGAAGGCATATTTATCTGCATTCTGTCAGTTCTTTTAATAATATGATCTCTGTGATTGATTTTGTTATTCTACTCTTATCGCAAAAGACATCAGACTTCTTCTGGGCCTCTACTTCAAGACCTATTTATCCAGCAATTGCTCCAAAAATGTGCTGATGGCAGACCACCATGGTGGGCCGATGATGTAATGTTAGAACTGACAAAATGCAGATAAATGCACCTCGAGGATTCACTTCTGAATGAATTCATTGGGAGTGCATCCAACTGGTCTTAGCTGAGCAGTTGATATGACAGAATCTAAATCTGTCTGTGTGGGTTCAAAACCTGCTGAAGATAAAATTCTAAGTGATCATCAGAATCAAAATCTGTTTTGCTTGGACTGCGCAGATTTGAAACCTGCCAACGATAACATTTTTATTTTATGAACATGCACCTTGGCAGTTTCAAACCCATTGAATGCTGCATTTTTTCTATTAGAACATGTCTTGAATATTTGATCGTAGACAGTCTCTCAGACACTGATCTTCATCAGTCTTAGTTGAGTTGTCACCAGAGTCAAAATCTGTTTCTTTTGGACCATGCAGGTTTAAAACCTGCCAATAATCACATTTTCTTTCCATGAGTTTTTTTGGGGGTTTTTCTTGCAAGAAAGTCATAATGCCACCAGAAAATTGAGGCCTTCTGATTCATTTTAATATTCATGTGGGAAGTGTGAAGGTGTGATTTCATAGAATAGAAATAAAAATGTTATCATTAGTAGGTTTCAAACCTGCACAGTTCAAGAGAAACAGATTTCGACTCTGGTGACAACTCGACTAAGACCAATGAAGATCAATGTTTGAGATGCTGTCTATGAGCAGATATTCAAGACATGTTCTGTTACAAAAAATGCATCACTCAACAGGTTTCAAACCTGTAGACTTCAATGGAAACAGATTTTGAATCTATTGTGGCAATGATATGGCTAACATCAGTTGAGATGAGTTTTTGAGAAAATTGTCAAGATGTGTTTTCATAGAAAATATATTTTATCATTGCTAGGTTTCAAA